AAATGGAAATGGTCTATGCTAACTTACTTTACATTACTTTACATTACTTTACATTACTTTACATTACTTTACATTACTTTACATATATATATATATACATATACATATATAGATACGCTTCTATATAATATATGAAAACATGATGCTTGTTGTGTCGCTGTATGCATGAAGAGAGACAGACAGCACAACCCTACTTGCTATGTCCGCCGAGGTTCTACAAGTGGGCCTGAGCCACAGCACCAAACATTGAAGCTCAGGCCCAAGCCAAAATTAGTAGACACATTAAACCAGATCCCTCCTACTCGCAACTTGATAGTTGAGATTTGAGGAGCTTAGGATTCAGGGATTTCACGATACAAACACCCCAGTAGATGTCGATGCTTGTCGATTGTGGTCAGACAAAGGGATCTTCTTATCTTCTTGTATTCAGCGTGGCGAGTTGCAAAACTAGGATTGAGCCTGGAATTTCGGGCTGAAGGGTTTTGTTTATGTGGCGCAGGGTTTGGAAGGGGTGTACGGTTTGGGGCTTGGGGATTTCGGATGAGAATGCTGACCGTTGACAGGCTCTGGTGGCATTGAGGGTTTCAGCGGTAGGGTGACGTCACGGTATGGTGAGCCATAAAGGATCAGATCTCGGAGTCTAGAACAGCTCAGAAGCAAGAAGACTGGGGGCATTGTGGCACCTGCCCTACAAGCACAAGTCTTCAACATTCGTGCATACAGACGGAGGCACCCTCAGAGACAGTGTTCGAGACTGCGTCTGGGATGCACCTGTGCCATTTGCAAAACTTGGAGAGACCGACCCAAGCCCTGAAAGCGTCTATGCCACACCACAGGAAGGACATAGTAGACTGATAAACCCTAAACCCCCTAAACCCTAAAACTCTAAACCCCAAACCCTAAACCCCAAACCTAAACCCTAAACCCCAAACCCTAAACCCCAGACCCTAAACCGTAGACAACACAGCCCCCAACCTTCTACCCCCCCAACCACCCCGCCCTTCACCACCTGCTTCTGCTGCATCTGCACCGAGGCTCTGGTACTGCCTTAGCTGGGGACTGGCGCCCGGAAGGTCATAGGATGAGCAACACCGGCATCCTAATAAGACGCTTTCTGGAATAAAAATAACAATAAGTGATGATGTTGGCGACATTGCTGATGTTGTTGTGGATGCTGGTTCATCAGCTTCCCCATCAATGAGGACGGTGATCGTAATGCGGGGGTGGTGATGCTGATGTTTACGAAGATGATGGTCGCGATGCTGAAGATGATGTTGATGATGATGATAATGGTGTTGTTGATGACGATGATGATGATGATGGTGATGATGTGATGTTGAGTTGTGCCGATAACGACGCCGACGGTGAGTCCGAAAAGCATGACGAGCTTGTGACGGCAATATGACAACGGCGACAAGAACGCACAAGATCCCGGTGGAGCGTGCGAGCATGGCCCACGCTGCTGCCGATGATGAGGATCCGAACGATGCTGACGAAGAACATAAGTCTCGACAAGCAGCCGAAGACCAATCGAGTGATGATCAGGAAAAGGAGAGACATGCTGAGGATGATGATGCCAACACTGAGTATGATAATGATAATGACGATGAAGATAACGATGATGATGATGATGGTGATGATGATGACGATGATAAAACGATGATGGTGAATGTGATGATGAAAAGGAAGACTATGCTTATGAATGTGACACATATGTATCTCAGCTCGGGTCGCTAGTTACCACTATTTTGTTTCTAGGAACAGAGGATCCCGAATCAGCTGTATAAGTAGGATAAAGCTGTGGCAAGAGAAAGTGTAGTTGTATGCTATACAGTTCTAGGCATGCATACATAACCATCCACGAAAGTACAGATATTATTACAGGGGGCTTCGTTACAAACCTACTTCCTAAGTCCCCCGATTCTCCACGCACCTCGCCTAGGAACAAGTCAGCCTTCCAGATCTTGTGTATTACATGCCAGGTCCTAAACTCCCTCAAAAATCAAGAAGATCCCACTGCTTCAAAGCCCAGCCCTGGACCTCAGATGCTCGGCTCTTTGCTCTCCATGCTGGGCCCGTCCTCCTCCCCCGCCCTTCACTTTAGGGCTTTAGGGGTTTGAGGGTTTCGGGTTTAGGGGTTTAGGGTTTAGGGCATCTTGTGGTTCACTTTCATGGGCTGATAGATTCGGCGTTGAGGCTAATTAACATTGAGGATACCGGCAGTATCAAGCCCGACACCTTAGAGGGTGAAGAAAACCTCGACCCAAGAAACAACGTAAGCCAAACCCGAAGCCCTACACAACGCCAATCCAAGCCCTAAGCACTGAAAAAGGAAAACTAAGTTTAAACCGAACCTACAACTCTCAACTCTGAGCAATCTAAACCATAAGCCCGACACGCTGAACCCTAAAACATGGAGACAGCGCCAGGCAGCCTCGTGAGTTGAGCAGGAGGCGTGGAAGCCACCATCTCGGACACTTCCTGAGGTGGTAAGGATTGAGACATTTCTTCGAACGGTATAGGGCTTAGGATTTAGGGCTTTCTTAGCCTTGTACAATATGTTGAGGGTATATGTTGATGGTTTGGGCATCTCTTCTACCACGGGCAGGGTTTAGTGCTGAGGATCCGGGGCTTTCTTATACTACGTTTAAGGTTCCGGGTCACGGGAAGGCTTGTGAAACAGGAGTCCTTCAAAGGATTCAAGGATTCCTTCAGAGGTTCCTTTTCGGATGTTTTGTGATATGCTTGGGGCTCAGGGTTTGGGGTTGTAGAGCTGGCCGATAGGCTGGAGGAGTTTAGAGCTGCAAGCTTGTAGGGTTAGGATCGAATTTTGAGGGGTTAAGGGTTTCCATGTGCGATTGAAATGAGGCTTTATGTTGCTTACCGCAGAAACGTTGTGTGGTTGAGGTTCGGGGGGTATGAAGTTTGCCTCGCAAGGCTTCGGATCTCCAAGTACTGGCAACTTTAAGGCCACAGTTCATGCAAAGCCGCAAGTCCGAACGGTTGCCATGTAACCCTAAGCTAGTGAGAAACAAGTGTACCGTTAAAACAATGCAACATTGATATGGACCCCCAAAAACAGTATACAGTATACAGTCTCACGTCATTGAAGGTACCTTAGCTCCTTTAAGCAAGAGCGAAATCAAACTGTAGCCTCGAAAGCGTGCTGAATCTGTGGGGAGGAGCGGTGACCATGCAGTTGAAAATCTCCAGCAAGGGCAGTTCTGACGTATCGCCGTCGCTGTGGCGACCTCGTCTCAAAAGAGACGGGCTCGAACCGCTTATGCTATCAATCACCTCCTGTACGTTACGTACCCGAAAACCTGACGCTTTGATCAAGCAAACCGCAGCAGTGCAACATAGGAGCCAACATAATTAGAAAAGAGTTCCGGGACGTCTTCAGTATAAATACTATACACTAAGTTGGATATCTTACAAGAAGGAACCCTAAGGAAGATTCTTACTAATCATTCGGCCTCTATAAATGAACAACTTGGAGGGATTGAAGCCCGCCGGCCCAGTCGACATGCCCCAAACACCGCAAGCCAATAGCATCACCTTATAGTCCGTATATATATATATATAGCTCCTGGTGTCTGGAACATAAGTAATGCATAATGTAGCCGTAAACCTCAGGTTCGCAATTAAGAAACCCTAAACCCTAAACAGTGTTTAGGCTCTCAACCCCTAGCCTCCACCGCACGGCAGGTAGGTGCGTAATCTAGGGATCGAAATCATGTCCGGTACTCTTCCTAAGAAGGGCTGCTTCAACAGAACTACTGTTTGTGATATAAACCCTGCATTACCTCAAGGACCCTAAACTCTAGGAATTGTGGTATATTCCTTATTAATGGGTAATGCAGGATTTATATCATCAACCGTAGTATACTCGTACCCTAAGCCCTGAACCCTAAACCCTAAACCCTAAACCCTAAACCCCAACAACCCAAAAAAGACCACAAACAGGATCCGTCCAAGGCCGGATTCTACTGGACCGGCCTGGAGCTCGGGAGGGAGTAAGGATTCAGGGCCTACGGTTAAGGTTTAGGGTTTAGGGTTGTTGAGGGTTTAGGGTTTAGGGTTTAGGGTTTAGGGTTTAGGGCTTAGGGTTTAGGGCTTAAGGTTTAAGGTTGAGGGTTTAGGGCTTAAGGTTTAGGGTTTAAGGTTTATAGGGTTCAAGCTTAAGGGCTTAAGGCCTAGAGGGATTAGGGTTATTGGACGGAGGCTCTGAAGCATCTGTAGAAGATTTATGCGTTGTGACCTCTCAGCCGAAGGGCTGCCGCTGATTTGTGGCTAGTAATATAGGGGCCTTGTAGTTAGAATAAGTGTTTGGGGTATATTATGCTACTGCAATCCTGTAACTATAATTTCAGTAGTCATTTAGGCCGAATTCAGACTCGAAATCTACACACAGGGACTCGCAACCCTTAGAGCCAAAAATGCGTGCGTCGTAGATGCGCTGCATGTGGATGTTGTTGGACACCAGCTGCTGATAGTAGCTTGTGTGATCGCCTCCACCCACAAAGCAGATTTCGACTGAAATCGGCATTTGTTGCACTGAGATTGGAAGAACTGGGTTTACGATAAAGGTTTAAAGGATCCAGGCTTTGAAAGAAGATAGGTGGGGTTCCAAATTGCCCAGGGAGCTTTAGGTGCCAAAACAAGCCCTCTAGTCGAACCCAGCTACACTTGGCAGTTCAAAGGGGTTTTGCTTTTTAGGGCTTTGGGGCTCAATCAGCTCGAAACAGAAGCAAACGAATCCCGATGGCTAAGCATAAACAGAAGCCGTCGGCTAAGCAGCAGCCGTAGCAGTAGCAAAACTTCCACCGGCAGTGGACCACAACAACAGACAAAAACAAGCAGCACCAGCAAGGACACCACCGAGCACAGAAACAAAAGCAAGAAAGCCTTCGATTCAAACGCGATGACAAAACAAAACACCAGCCATTTCAGCAAGACGCAGGAGCTCTGGGTAGTACTAGTAATTATACGTAATAACGCTGATAGCCAAGCATCGTAACAAAACCACCCAGTGTCGCAAGGTCCGAATGACATGGGCAACCGTACCAGTAGCTCTCCACAGCTCTAGCAAATAAAACCCTAAGGGTCCATGTGCCCAAATAGATGTACTTTGGCCTTAAAGTAGTCCCTATATAAGTACTTTGGGGCCAATGTATATACTATTTGGGTACATGGACCCTTAGGGAAAGACACTCCACCTTGAAAGCTGAAAGCGCGAAGCCAGAGGCCGAGGGCTAGACAGTTTAGGGTTTAGGGTTTAGGGTTTAGGGTTTAGGGTTTATGATATCCAACCTGCATTACCTGAAGGACTCTAAACTATGGGAAATATGATATAGTCCTTCTTATGGGTAGTGAAGGGTTTATATCATCAACCGTAGTGGTCGTATTGGGAGTTCATAGGGCTGGGGGATTCAGGCTAAGAGTTAAGGGAGTAGGCCTCGGACTAGAAACTCGGCCTCTAAGCTTTCTAGCACGCGCCAGGGCTGCATGCAATGTCTTGCCGGCCCGTGAAGTATCGCCCAAAGCCTCGGAAGAATCACGTCTGCAGTGCCCCTAAACCCTCATAAACCCTATGGGTCCAAACCCTCGTGCGAAGCCCAAAGCCCCGCCGCTCGGTGAACCTCCTTGTACATGCGTGCTGACATGTTGTGGGCCGCTCAGTATACATCCGAAAGCAGGTGTGCAATAGATGTCAAGATGCGAACACGCGAGATTGACGCATCTGTACTTCAACTTCGGTTGCATTCCAGCCCTTTAGGGCTCCGTGGCTTTCGGGTTTAGGATGGGTTTAGGGTTAATTAAGGGTTTTGGGTTTAGGATGGGTTTAAGGTTTAGGGCTTAGGGTTTGGGGTGGGTTTAGGGCTCACATCTGGAGCTTCTGCTTCGCTGGGCGCTCCACGCGGCATTCAAGATCAGCGATATTCATGCCTACTCATATACATCGGATATATATATATATATACATATATATATATATACGTATATACACATGAACTGTATAGATTTGTATATGTACATGTATGTATATACTATATAAAAATATGATGCATATGTGCATGCATGTAGGCATGTGCACATGCAGCACTTCTCGATGTACTGATGCACCAGCAAGTTTAACCACCATACGCAAAGCTGCATGCTACATGTAAACAGTTCATGGGATCCGAGCCTTTGGGTGGTTCAACTGGGAGTCCAAATTCTGTCGAAAACTTCTAATATAGGGGCCTTTTCAAAAATTGGAATAGGGTTTTGGGGCCCATTCCATTATAAATATTAAGGAGCCCCCCAAAAATAGTATTGGCACTCCTTTGGGCCCCTACATTAGATTCTAGGCTTGGTTTGGACCTTTCTGATGCAAAACCATTGCGGCAACCATGGTGGCGGGGTCCCGCGCATTTACTTCACACTGGTCGTCGGAAAAAATTGCTGTTCTCAGTCTCGTCTGAGAGGTTTGTGGTATGACACGGCCAGAAGTCGCTATCTACCAGCCCGGACCATGAAGAAAGAACATATCTCGAGAAGAAGCCTGCAATAAGTAGGCTCCACCCACCCTAAAGTCAGTATAAACCCTGAGTCCTACACTATCACTATTTCTACCTGGACAGCCAACTAGACACCTTTCCCTTTTCGAGGCACCTTGTTTACGCTAGGGATTGCTGATTCTTGTAGCAAGGCAAGAAGCAAGGTGAACTGCGCCGAGGTTGTTCCAAATCAGTGGATTTTCTGGATACCTGCATCCGGTGAAGGCTCACACGAATCAGGACCAACTACATACTGGGGGAACACAAATCAGGACCGACTATATACGGGGGGAACGAAGCCCATGGCTTTCTGCCAGAATGCTATCGGAGCAGAGGCTTTGCTTATCTTGACCTTGCGAAAGGAAACGATCAGGTGGGGAATCTGCACTGCCAATGCTGCTGATGTTGTTGTCTTTTAGTAGCTGCCCTGCTTTCACGGCAATAGTAATTAGCAACAGCAGAACGAAGTGGAAGAGAAGAGGCCCTCGCCCCACAAACCCTCAATGAAAGCTGCTCAACTTCGACACAAGGCTTTTAAGTTTAGAGTTTAGGGCGACAGCTACTTGTGCGATGGTGACACAATTCATAGACCATCATGTACGGGCCTTAATAACTAGAATAGGGTTTTGGGTCGTTTTGGGTTCCTTGATTCTGGTATAGTTGTTTTAAGGAGCCCCATGGAATGACGTTTGTAATTATGTAGGTCCCTATATATATTACCCATATTGATGTGGCTCCACATCTAGAATTCTCCCGTCTTCGAGTGGATTCGGAAAGGGGCTCTTCAGAAAGTCGGCATGGGATCGGCTGATATGATCTTCTTATGGGTTCCCCAGACTCGAGGCTCTAGTCCATACTAAAACCACTGGCTTCTTGTGACTTCTGTCAGGCCCCGTCTACAGTCTAAAAGCCTTTGGCGCATGACGATGCACGTTGCTGAACTCGCTGACTCGACCCTAACCCTCAAGCCCTAAACCCTAATGTAGGGGCCTCATGTTTTTGGAATACTGTTTTGGGGTCCATTATACTGTCATGATAATAATGAACCCCTAAGATAGTATTGGTAATTATATAGGCCGCTACGTTAAACTTCACAACATGTTCCAAACCCGGAGCCAGAAGACCAAGGGGGTCAAAGCTGATGCGAAAACCAGTAACATAGGAGCCTTAGTGGTTTTGGTAAGCTTTGGGGTACCCGAACGTATACGGTTTAGGGTCTCGGGTTGGAGGGCTCAAGAGCTTAGGGTTTAGGGTTACATGTTAAAACCAGAATCAGGACCCCGTCTCAAATGATGTGAGCAATTCTTGAGCTCCGCTCCCTATAGTCGCATCCAAAGTGCAGTGTGACTGCCCTCTCCAGCACGCCCTTCGCGAGAGAGAACTCTCCCAAATAGAAGTAAGCAAAGCCTCACTGGTTGTCATTGGGTTGAAGAACATGGTTTGGGGGCATGTTACAGACTGGGTTGTTTAACCAGTATGTATGAACAGGTAACTCTATAGGAACCATTAGGGAAATTTTCAAGCTTCCCAAAGTGCCACCTAGTAGAGTAGCTATGACAAGGGACCCTAAGGATAGTAGTGGTAATTACTCAGGCTTCTACATTGTTCCGTTCAGGTCATTGGGCCCCTGTTGCCGTTCTTGCTGCCGTTGTTGTAACTGGTGCTTTTGAGTTGTTGTTGCTGTATGTGCAGCCACGTAATGCTGCCGTCGCCGTTGCGGCTGTTGCAACTGTTAGTTAGTTCCAGCCGCAGACCTGGAAAGCTTTTACGGCCTCTTTTCTTCAGGCCCTCAGCAAAGGCATTCACCGGCGACCTTATGTTGACCACTAGCAGAAAGGGCTTGAGAAAAACGCGACTTCCGCCGAACACTTGTCCATAAAACAGGGTTTGCCCAAACGATCATAAAAACGGCGCGAGCCCGGGAAACCTTGAATTAACCAGGATCGCCAGGTGTCCAAGTTGCCTTCCGAAGTCCAACCCTTCGGGCTTCATGCCGCTGATGTTCTAAATCCTGCATTACCCTTATATAAGGAATATACCATAACTCCCATAGTTTATAGGATCCTTAAGGTGATGCAGGATTTAGATCAACAACAGTATCCTTCATGTCAGAACTCACAAGCACTGTGACAGGATTGATCTTACACAGGTGCATCCAACCGAGCTTCGACAACATTAGGGTTCAGGATTTAGGGGTTTAGGCTGTGGGGGCCTGCGGCATCCGTCCTGGAAGTCTATGCACTCCATCACTGGGTGGTAATTTTGGGGACCTTAAAAATATGTTCAAATAAGTACCTCTATAGGAACCGCAAAGAAAATTTCAAAATTTCCCAAAGTGCCACCTAGATTTTCCCCTTGCTTTTGGAAAGAGCTTGCATTTTCAGGTATCCTCCGATGAACCTCGCCTATTGCGAGCATGCTTCTGCGACAGTCAACAAAAATCCTAGAATGCGACATCATGGCACAAGCTTTCAAGCAGAAGGGAGAGAAGGAAGGAGGAGAGAGAGAGAGAGAGAAAGCCGGAGAGCGCTGTATTGGTTCCTACAGGGCCAGACCAGGAACTCCTAAACCGAAACCCTGAACCCTAAAACCAATTCAGTGTTTAATTTAGGGAGCCAGGTAATTAACCATGAACTGCCCAAAACCCCAAATTCTTACAAACCCTACACCCTACACCCTGAACCATTATGAAACCTAAACAGTAAATCCTATAAAGCCTTATAAACCCTAAGCCCACCCTAAACCCTAAA